ACTCGATTAACATGATTAAGTCTTGATGTTCGAATATCATCATTATTCTCTGATGATATACTAATTGAATCATCACTATCTATTGTCATAGTATTAGTATCATTTAATGATTGTTTTGATAAAGATAATGGAAGTATACGTTTAAAACGATCGATAAGAGAACGTGGTGAAAAAAATGTTGAAGATGATGATTTTGTTTTAGCAAGATTTGGTTCACTAATACCTTTTTTCATTGCAGATTTTTCATGTATTAATAAATGATTTACTTTTGTTTTTGTTGTTGATGAATGAAATATTATATCATTTGATAATCTTTTATTATTAGTATTATTAGTATTAGTATTAAATAAAAATTGTTGAGCATCATTTTTATCTAATGTTGCTAAAGGTGTTTTTAATTCTTCATATATATTTTCATTTGGTAGAATTGTTTTTGTATTATCAAATAATATATTTGATTTACATTCCATATCTGTATGATCTTTATCTAATGGTAAAAGACCACTTGATAATAGAGCACTAGAAACACCTGCAGTCAAATCCATACAACTAATCGAACGAGCACCTAAAATAACAAAAAATTATTAATTTTTATTTAATTTAACAATTAACAAACAATAAGAAATCGATAGGAAATAATTTTAAACTCTCTTTTAAGTGATAAATTGCATTCGGAATTGTATAGTATTCTGTAAAGTTAAGGAAAAATGAATGCTCTTGTATCACAATAACAGAATTGAAAAATCAACAATTTCTATCAAAAAATTCAGACAAATCTAAGATTTTTGAGTATGAAGTATCTTGAAAAGAAATTATCACTGCAACACTCAATAAAATATAAGTTGAAACATAGGTTATTAGTTGAATGTAGTGAAGAGCGGGACTATCTTGCTCAAATTAAAGAGATGTGCATGTAAACTTAATAACTCGACAATACTAATTAACCTGAAGTGTTTAGATATAACAAAGAGGAAAACGTCGAACGTCTTTATGTTTGATACTATATAAGACAATTTTTTTCAAACCGATCATTTTCTCAGTAAATACATGAAAGTCATACTTCATCTTAAAGAATTCTAGATAATTTAAGATCTGAAGCATGTGTCAATATCAATATTACGTAGAGATGAAACATCATTTTCTTAGAAGAGTTTGTTTTATATAATATCAAATAAAACGACGTCCGAAATTTTTCTCTATCAATTGAATGAAAGCCACAGGTCATAAACTATTGTAATTTTTTACGTTACTAAGGTTTCATTTACTCCTTTTTATTATTGGAAGAGTTCCCTTGTTTGTATATATGTTTATAAGCATAGACAAAAATTCTTTTATTAAGTAAATTCTCTTAGATAAAACCAATTGTTTGACCTTCTCTAACAAGATATGAAGGTCACATGTGTCATCATTTATTTTAGTATCTCATTTTTGAGTACAGTTATTGTTATAAGTATTTTCTTTCTTTTTTTAATCTTAAATGAATATTCATTGAAGATTATAAAATCATATACCATTTGTCTTATTTTTTTTTAAACATATGGAATAATAATACTTATGACCTTCGTATCTTAGCATTGTTTTTTTTTTCTTAGGTTTATATTTTGTTTTGTACATATTAAAAAAAAAAAAATAATAGAAAAAAGAGAAAAAAAAGAATTGGTCAAAATTTACCGAGATCAAATGTAGGTGAATCACTTGTTGATGAAGATGATGAAGGTACGTTTTGATCAATAGTTTTTGATATATAATTCAATCGATTTTCATGTTCAAATGTTCGTGGTGGTTTTCTTGGTGGTAATTGTTGAAATAATGGATTTTCAACTATTGGTAATGGACTTTCTTCTCGTTCATTAGTTAATTTTTGTACAACAATAGGACTATTTATAGATAATCGTTGTTGAATTTGAAAACCAGTTGAATTTAATTTATGTTTTCGTCGTAAAGAAAATGTTTCATGAAAATCAATTGAAGAATTTTTATTTATATCATTTATTGTACTAACAGGAAATGATGTTGTTTGAACAATATATTTAGTCGATGATGATGATGATGCTGATGATATTGATGGTGAATCAAGTCTAGATGAATTACGAATTGCTGCATGACGAATAATTGATATTGGACGATGTTCAAGAGTTGATGACGGCGATTGATTTAATTTAATATTTGAATGACTAATTAATGAAGTATTATCAAAAATTTCATCACTTGAATATGAATTTGCTATAGTTACTGGTGTATCTATACCAGATTCACATAATATCTATAAGAAAATTTAGAAATAAACGATTTAATTTAAAATTAAAAAAAATATATTGTTTGTATTACCCAAGGTTTTATTGATTGATGTTCATCATTTGATAATGAATGATCATTACTACGATCTGTTATTAGAGAATTTCGTTTTGATATAATTGATGGTGATGAATTTGAATCATAACCAGTTGATGAACGTGATGTTGATGAATGAAGACTTCTTGTTGATTGAAATAATTCATTATTATTATTATCATATGTTATTGGTGAATTATGTTTTAATACATTACATGTAGTTTTAACAAGAACAGGTTTAGCATTTACAGCTAATGTACGTTGTATATTAGATACATATTGACGTGTACTACCTAGACGATTTAAATGAGTTGATGTTAATGAATTTTCATAACTATCAGCATAATTTATAGCTGAAGCCATAATTAATTGACGATGTTGATCAAATGTTAATATAGAGTTTTTACGTTCGATAGAAGATATGAATTGTTGAGATAATGATGGTGTATATGAAAGTGTGTCTAAAATAAGAGATAGATATTTTATGACTTGCTTACACGCATGTGTTACTCAATAAAAATTCGAGAAAAAAAAGAAGAAAAAGAAGAATTGCAATGGATCAATTGAAATATGTGGAAGCAAAAAAAATGACTAATGAAATATCGATATTGCTTGCCAACCAGATTCGACTCATGGCCTTTTGCCATTCTCTACTTTTATCTCGAAACATTCGAATGTTTATTCTTTTTTCATCTTTCTTCGTTTTTTTTTTGTTTCGATGATGAATCTAACTGCTCGAATTTCAAATAAAATGAAGAGAAAAAAAAAACGAAGTTGACCTTCAATACTGTCTGTTGTTGTTTTTTTTGTATGTGTTTCATATCAATCTCTGATGATTTATGAAGAGAGATAAAACAGGTCTCTGACATTCAATCAGATGATTACATTTGTTTTGCTTTTATTTTGACTTTTTCTTGTTTTTTTACCTGTCTGAAATTGATTTTCATTTGATATTGATGAATTTAATTTTAACATTTGTTCATCAATTGATTTAACATTTTCTAATGTAAGATTATCAATATTTGTTGTTCTAAGTTGTAATTTTTCATCATCAGTAACAGGTAATTTAAGTAAAACATGTGATGATAATGATGATTTTGTTTTTTGTTGTCGTTCATGAATTGTAGATAAATTTTTTGTTGAATATGTTTGTTTATCAAACATTTGTCGAATTTGTTGAAAATGTCCTTTTGGTAAACAACGTATACTTTCACGTATACGTGTACCAGAACGTATTATCTGTACATCAGATTCACTATGTTTCATTTGTATTCACAATGAACTAAAAAATAAAAGATATTTTATATCAAATAACATGTCTAAACAGATTAAAATTGATCAAGAAAAGAAAATCAAATTTCTTCGTTTTTTTTTTTTTCTTCATCTCGATAAAGAATATACGTTTACCCTGAAGGCTAATTTCCAATATGCACGCATTCAATAGATTAAAATTTAGAAAGAAAAAAAGCTTAGAATGTTAGTTAATAATACGAGATGAATTTATCACCCTTAAGGAACTCTCTCGATTAACACATACTCATAGAGTTTTAAGATGTTTGTGTGAAAAAAAAAAATAGCTACATACTTATTATCATCTTATAAACGTTTCTAATCACTTTGAAGGTTCTCAAATTTTAACATGGACGAAGAAAAAAAAAAAACATGAATATTTATTATTAAATGATTATTCAGATACAGAATTATTTTTTTTTCCTATATTCAATAACCGGCGGTAAAAAAAAAAGAGGAAAGTCAAGCATCTACTTGAGAGAAAAAGAAAATTTCTTTTATATTAAGTCAAGGTAACATCCTACAGTAATTTTGTAATATTAGAAATTTTACTTTTCAATCAGTTACGTTTTCTTTTAAACACAATGAATAAAAAAAAGTGTAAGAAAAAGAAAAAGCTACATACCACTTACTTTTCTATAATAACTTATGATATGACGTTTGAATGATATCGAAAGTGAAAGACTAATCAAACATTGATTTCTGACTAGGCGACTCAAGATTGTATTTCAATGACAAAACAATTAAACAACGTCGTCATCTAATCTCTGAAGTGAATATATATATATATATCTAGTGGTCGTATATCGCTCGCTCGTTTTTCTTTTTCCTATCGAATATAAAACAAGAAAAAGGTCAATTTATTTCATACAAAGATACATAGGAGTTGTATTGTTTAACGAACAAATTATAAACATAGAGATGGACAAACGTGAAAAAAAACATTACTAAAAGGTGCGACCTTGAGAAATACAAATATATATATATATACACACATACAATTGACATTAAGAATATAAAAACTGTTCAAAAAGTAAAATGACATATAAAATACAAATACTGTATTTGTTTGGTGATTTATTTCTTATCGAAATAATAAAGAAAAAAAAAATGTTATCACATACATTTTAAATTTCACTAGAGCTCAATCATTTTCTTTTCAATTAACAGACGAAAGTAAGATATGCTCTTCTTTTCATAAACTAAGCCGACATGTAATCTTTTCTTCTAGACTTTATGTCATAACTATTCAATACTAAAAGATAAGAGTAATTCATTTTAATCGTTTAGTTTTATTTTTTTTAACGTATGTTCTCTTACCTGATGTGATTTTTTTAAGTTACCAAACAAAAAAAAGGAAAGAAAACGACAGTAATACGTTTTTATGATTTTTGTTGTTTCGTATTTCTTTTTAAATGAAACTATTCTACATATTTATATATATATATAGATACAAAAATATGTACATGCAATGAACACCTCATACTGTGTCTTTCTCTTCTTAATTGTAACACGTTGCCAGTAGACTGTGTGAAAGAATGATGCAACAATCTCTATAACATATTATATGTATATGAAATGTGTACATGTACTACATATCTATGCTAGGATTAAGCATGTCTTTTGAAAGAAGATGCTAATAAATCTCTAAATGTCTTAAAAAGAAAATAATCTTTTCTTTTCTTTTTTGTTTTATAAGACAACTTACAAAATAAATATATATATAAAGCATCAATGTCAAACATACATAAGATTTCTTTTTTTTCTTCGTCGTTCTGTTTTCTGTTATATACATTCATCAGTTTTGTGCATGTTTAAAACAATTAAAAATGAAAGTGCTCAAGAAAAATGAATTTTAACATTAGAAGGTCAAAAGTTCGTTCATTCATTCACTAGAAACAAAAAAGCATATACATATATTCTGCTTCTATCTTTTCTATATAATTTTGTTCAACGAAAATGATATTGTTTTTCTTCTTGTATATGATCATATAATATAAGTGATTGATTTCTTTTTCTTTTTATATAATACAGCTGCTGAATATGTCCAACCGTGATAATCATAGATGAAAATGTTCAAAATTATAAATCAGTTCAAATAAATAGATCAATTGAGAATGTTCTCATTTGTACAGAGAAAAAAAGAAAATTGTGAGAATTTATTTACATAAATGTAAACCAGGTGTTACAATTTGTCGCCGATGAATATAAAATGAATGTTCAAGGATATATTTAAATATAATAGTCAGAGAACAAGGTCGTTAATAAGAAACAAATATACATTAATAACATTGATGAAAGATTTTTACTCGTTTAAGACGAAGGTGATAATAGCATCAGGTGTTTTGTTTTTTTTATTGGAAAAATATATATTATATCCGAAGGACTCATCCATAAACAACGTTTTAGTAGAACCCGGACCTGATTGAATAGTACTTTGATACTCTGAATGAAATTTTCTAATAGAAGTTGGATAGTTGTCTCATATTTATTATTATTTGAACGAATAAGGTTAATATACATATTTGTAATATGTCCAACAGATCTTAGCAATGTACGATGTATTTTGATACACTCAAAAATATTGATATTGATTATGTCTGAACGGTAGAATTTAATCAATTCATGCTTTTATGTTGGTCATATGAGAATCTGTGACAAATCAAAATATCGTTCTTGACATTGATGATTTTTAATTGTTTATCTACATAAAAATAAAATAACTGTATTATTTAGAATATTAAACCTTTAGTTCCGATTGCTAGGGGGTCTGGAAAAGAGTTACAAATGAAAATATATATCTCATCAACAATAAATAGAAATCTAATCTGTTTTAAAGTTTTTATTTTTCTTGTTTTTTTTTAAAGTAAATTCAATTTTATCTAGCGGAAAAAAATTAAGAACCAAAAAAATGAAATTCAATACAAATGACCATTCGAAAATCTCATATAACTTCCTCATAAAATAATAACCTACACAATTCTTTAAAAAAAAAAACAAACTAAGCTAAAACACTTTGTCAAAAGTTGTGTGATAAAAATAGGATAATATTAATTGTAAATGTCTAGATATCTTTTATTAATGATTTTGAACATAATTGATATTATATCAAATAGTCTATCATTAAACGAAACACCTTCGTTATTTTGAATTCAATAAGAAAACAAATAACTAAATTAGCATCAAAATTTGTGTTTTTCTTAAATCATACAATCGAAAGGAATAATAAATTCTAACGTTTATACATCATTATATGATAGATAATACAAATTAAAGAATTCTACTGCAACGATCTACATTAAATGTTGATGATGTAGAACAAAAATTCATTTTTACACATACAGTTGAAGCAATAAAAACTATAGTTACAGGTTGACATGATATTTAGAATATGAATTGTTATCAGTAAAGTAAATTTAAAGTGTCTAATTGTATTTGCTAAGAGGGTGTTGGACCAGGAAATACATTTTCTATTTAAAAATATCTTTCTGATAAAAATTAATTTCCTTATTTCGATCGTAAAAAGTATTTCTATATATTCTTTTACATTAAAATAAATTTTTGATATTTATTTCTCATAGCTATTTTATCGTGTCAAGGTCGATAACTCGGAGAGACTAAAAAACTTAAGTAATTTTTAAAACATACAATACTTGATTAAAACAATTTATCTTTACTTTTAAATAACTAAGAACGATTTTCATTTTCTATATGAAAGTATCTATAAATTTTATATTGAACTAAAAATTATTTATTATGAATCATATTTTATTTGTTAAATATTGATCAAAATAGTTTCGTAAAAAACAATTAAAGATAAAATACAATTTGATAGCCTACATAATAAAAGATAATCATTGTATGACCAATAATGAATTTTCAGTGATGAAATTGTTATGCGAATAATTTAATATCAGAATCAAATATAATGAGTTATCAAAAGTATGTAGTTAAATCAAACAAATGAATTAGAAAAAGAAAAAAAAATGTACTTGAAAAACTGAAATCCTTCATTTTTTTATTTACTGAATAACGATCAAAGTCATATTTAGTTAAAGTCCGTCAGGTTGGTTTTGGACTTCATGAACTTTACTGTTTAAGATACATCAATAACTTCTAGGAAACTAAAGAAATTTCTAAAATTTCTTTAACAGCAAAACTCATCTTGAGTACGATTTCTTTTTGCAAGAACTAGAAGTTGTCACACGTCTACTATTGATAGTTATGTAATGGATATAATTTACTGAACGGAAGATTTTTTTTTCTGACTAATAGAAACTCTGCGTCTGTGTTGATTTATTCAAGAAACTAAACTATTGTCAAATGCAAATAATGATATTTTTCTTGCTTGAAGAAGACTTCATTGACTTACGTATCTTGGTGTAAAGTTAGTAAAACCGTAGTCTATGTAGAGTTTTCGAATTCTTAACTAGTAAAAATAAGTGAAATTTCTATTTATTTAAAGTGTATAACACCTGCGACTCTTTTATCATGGTGGAGCTAGCTTCTGGTTGCTGAATATATATGAACTACTATTGTATCACAAGTAGAGAGACGTGAAATCGATACCTAGAACACCAAAACTAACGATTATAATTAAATACTTTATGGTTTTAAGCGAATTATCTTATAAATAATCGATGAAAACATAATTTAACTTGATCTCTTATATCTGTCATTAGAAGAAATATATTACTTTTTTATCTAGAAATAAAGAAAATATTCAGATTGTAACATCAATCATCATTTACATTCATTCACCCAATATCTATCTGTTTATGTAGGACTGTGTAGTGGCGAAATGAAATTGAGCGACATATATCTAACCCTTAACTTTTTTTTTTCTTTAACTACATTATTGATTAGACAAAAGCAATATCAATCCGATGTTATTGTAGTCATAGAAAAAAGGAATACGTGAATTGATAGAAACCAATCTTCGATGAATACATATATTTTTGATATATCTTGTTAAATAAACATCTGCTTTGCTTGTATACATATTAACCTTGTTCTGGAATGTATTTCTAACAGACTAACGATTTTTTAGATTTAATATTTCAAAGATTGAGCAATGAAAAGAATATATTTTTTTTCACCAATTAATTGCCTATGAAACTCACTACAACAAAAGAAAAATGATTTTTTTCGTTTTCAAACTCCATATTTCTTTTATTTTCTACAATCATCGTTCTATTAATAGTCAATTCAGTGAACAACAGAAGGTGTAAAAAAGGTTTAACTTTGCATTCTCTGATATTTAGTTAATCAATTACTAGATCAAACATTTGATAAAACTTTTTTTTCATAATATTTTATATATAATTATTTAAATAAATTTTGATACATAAGCATTTGTTTTTATTTTATTTTATTTTTCATATTCATCAATTTGAATTCGATAGTTCAACAATAGGTGTATTATTAATAAAATTCGGTGTATGTGTAGATCTTGATTCTCGATTGTTTAGTTCTTCATTAGTAGATGTAATATGAGCTGATATTGATGGAACATTATCTTCTAAAATATTTCGATTACATAATGGACAACTTTGATTAGCTAATAACCATGGATCAATACATGCAGTATGAAAATAATGTAAACATACTTTAGAAAAAAAAAAAAAAAAGAAACAAAATAAATAAATTTTTCAATATATAGTTTATCTTACTAAGTTTTCGAATTTTATCATTATCAATAAATGATTCTAAACAAATAGCACATACGGAATCATTATCAATAGAATGATTAGTTTTTTTGTTTGAATTAAATATAATAATTGGTGTTTTATCAAGTATTCGTTGAACTGAATGTGCAAGTGCATTTTTAAGTTTAGTTTTTATTCGACGTTGTTCATATTGACGATAATATATAACAATAAACCATCCAATACAAAGAATAAATGTAAGAGAAACACATGATATAAGAAATATAATACCAAATAAACTTTTTTTATTGAATGGATAACGTGGTAAATCTATTATATTATCATTGCCATAGAATATTGTACATGTTAAATTTATTTTTCTATTTTTATTTTCTATAATTAATATTATAAATTTATTTGAAAAGTTTTTTACAAGAATATGTCTATCAATTTTAATATTATCATTATCTAATAGATGTTCAAATACTATCCATAAAGCTATAGAAATAAATTAATATTAGAATTATTAAATTATGTAAAACAGAAGAAAAAAAATATTAATAATTACTTTGAGAATTATCTTTACAGAATGTAAAATTATATGGTCTTGTTATTTTACAATGAATTAATGATAAATTACGTTCGAATTTTTCTATTGATTGATGAGATAAAATGTATACAATATTAACTTGTTCTTTATGAACTATATAATCAAGGATTGGTATTGGAATTCTGACGTTTGGTTGCCAATGAAAATTGTGACAAATTACATATGATTTATTTGTTAGTAAAGGATATGATTGAGATTTGTTTAATAGATAATTTTTTAAAAAAATTAAGAAGAATATTAGTTTATACATAACTGAACTTTATTATCCAAGTCAAAGATAAACTGTTTTTTTTTTCTCAGATTTATATGAAATGACATAGTTGATTTTAGTTCAACATAAAACTATCAATATGTGTTTCCATTTTTTTTTATCTTTTATTATTAATTTTATCAACATCCTGAACATTAGATATTTTGACTTGCTTGTCATAAATAAATATAGATAATAAGCACGTTTTCATACTTTTTTTTCATATTTGCATTAGTGTTATTTTTGTATGTCAAATATAAATATATGTCACAATGAGAGAGTAATGCATTCAATTTATTGAACGAGAAAAAAAAAACAATAAATATAATATTTTTTTTTTATTGTGAAATGAACTGTTGAGTCTAGTTTATCTTTTTCATAGAATGAGACTTTGCGAGTAGAAGAAAAAAAGGCAAAATAAGTTCATTTAATTGTTATAGTTGTTGTAGCTGTTGTTTATTTTGTTATTGGAATAAGTAACATCTCTCCCCAGTCAATTTTTTTATTTGATGTTGCAAAACGTTCGTTTTGTACTTTGGTAAACACCGTTTCGAAAACATGTTGAATAATTGGAATTAAATTTTTACTCACATTGATTGAAACATAAAAACGAAGTGTAGCACGATCTTTATATTGTTTGCTAACATCCATTACTCTTATTAAACGTGCTTCATCTGTAACATAAGAAACTAAGTTTCGTTTATAAAGTTCTTCAGCTGTATAACGAGCAATATCTGATTGGAGGCTTTGAATAACAATTGAATTAGGATCTTGAAACGATGAATTAAATACTTGATTGTGTATATCATATTCATAAACATAATTAACATAAACATCTTGTGGTGCACAAGCAGATGATTCCAATTTCTTTGTGAATGATGGTTGTCTAAATTGACGTCCACGAAGAAGATAGTATAGTAAACCAAGATAACGTGAATCGATATCTGTATTCAGATAATCCTGTGGTATTGAATCAATTGTTATATCACGTATTCTATTAGATTCTTGATCAGTAACATCATAACGTCGACCTAAGAGAATCATTTTACTCGTGCTTGGTAATTTTATAACTTTTTTACCTTGTGGTTGTCCGCTGATTTCACTCAATTTTTCACTTATAACTTTACTCTTCCTCTTTCTTCCTTTGCCACCAGCCACAACAGCTTCGACTTCTTTGGGAACATCAACAGATGGTTGGTTTGGTGTAACATCTCCAACACTAGGATTAACTGATGAGACATCTTTTGGCACTGACTGTGCAGCATATAAACCATCTACAATATTACAAAACAATCGTTATTGACATCATAAGTAAACAATAAAAAACTCATTTCCAATTAGATTGCGCACTTCTAGCAACTTTTCGCCTCATTCCGGAAGTTTAAACATCAACTCAAAAAATATACTACATTAAACAATGTAACCCGCCTTTTCGACAAAAACTCAATGCATCTATCAACGATACTCGTCCCCAGAATGATAAACAATGTTTTCCTTTTCAACGTAACAAAAACCCTTGTGAGTTTTACTTTACTATGGAAATAATGTAAGGATACCAAAACATCAACTTGATTAACTTCCGGATTCAAGCATCAACTGTCCCCTCACCGATACACTAAGTATTCCTACTTACCAATTATTTCTGGCACAAAGCCTGTGTCAGTAGAAGCGACCACAGCACCTATGGGAGCTGGTGTTTCCTTGGCTTGGCTTCTTTTCGGTGCTTTATCTTTTTTACCACCAGCGACTACAGCTCCAACACCGGATGGGTTATCCTCATTTTCATCTTGCTTAGAGGCTTTATCTGGTCTTCCGCCAGCAACAACGGCACCAACATCAGATAGATTCTCTTCATTTTGATGCTGTTTAGGTCTTTTATTTGGTCTTCCTCCAGCAACCACAGCTCCGACAACGGGTGGATTCTCTCCATTTTGACCTTGTTCAGGTGCTTCATACGGATTTCCACCAGCAACCACAGCTCCAACGCCCGATAGATTCTTGTCATCTTGACGCTGTTTAGGGCCCTTGTCTGGTCTTCTACCCGCAACAACGGCACCAACGCCCGATAGATTCTCTTCATTTTGATGTTGTTTAGGTGTTTTATCTGGTCTTCCACTAGCAACCACGGCTCCAACACCGGATGCATTCTCTTCATTTTGACCTTGTTTAGGTGCTTTATTGGGTCTTCCAGCCGCAACCACAGCTCCAACACCACCTGATACATCATCTCTGTCACCTTGTTTCGGTCCTTTGTCTGGTCTTCCACCAGCCACTACAGCTCCAACGCCTGATGGATTCGCTTCATTTTGATGCTGTTTAGGTGTTTTATCTGGTCTTCCACCAGCAACCACAGCTCCAACACCGGATGGATTCTCTTCATTTTGACCTTGTTTAAGTCCTTTATCTGGTCTTCCAGCAGCAACCACAGCTGCAAAGCCATCTGATTTCACGCCACTTTCTCCTTGTTTGCGCCCTTTACTTTGGTCTCCACCAGCAACAACAGCTCCAACACCATCTGGTTTCACGCCACTTTCACCTTGTTTGCGTCCTTTGCTTTGGTCTCCACCAGCAACAACAGCTCCTACACCATCTAATTTCTCACCGCTGTCACCTTGCTTAGGTCCTTTGCTTGGTTTTCCACCAGCAACAACAGCCCCAACACCATCTGGTTTCTCGCCACTATCTCCTTGTTTTCGTCCTTTGCTTTGGTCTCCACCAGCAACAACAGCTCCTACACCATCTGGTTTCTCACCACTGTCTCCTTGCTTAGGTGCTTTGCTTGGTTTTACACCAGCAACAACAGCCCCAACACCATCTGGTTTCTCGCTACTGTCTCCTTGTTTGCGACCTTTGCTTTGGTCTCCACCAGCAACAACAGCTCCTACACTCTGTACTTTTTCTTCACTGTGTGTGGTCTTCGGTACTTTGTCCGACTTTCCACCAGCAACGACAGCTCCGACGTTACCTGATCTCTCATCACTTTCAGTTTGTTTAGCTGGTTTGTCTGATTTTCCACCAGCAACGACAGCTCCAACGCCTCCAGAGGTCTGTTGAGTTCCAGTTGTTTGAGGTGCTTTGTCTGATTTTGCAGCAGCTCCAGCGGCAGCTTGACTATCTTGAGATCCAGTTGTTTGAGGTGTTTGGCCTGGCTTGACGCCGGCAACGACAGCCCCGACGCCTCCAGAGGTTTGTTGTGTCCCAGTTGTTTGAGGTAGCTGATCTGATTTTGCAGCAGCTCCAGCGGCAGCTTGGCTACCTTGAGTTCCAGTTGTTTGAGATGTTTGACCTGGCTTGACGTCAGCGACGACAGCCCCGACGCCTCCAGAGGCCTGTTGAGTTCCAGTTGTTTGAGGTGCTTTGTCTGAGTTCCCACTCGCAGCTGCAGTACCAGTTGAACCAGCACCAGTTTTATCTGTATTGGTGCTAGCTGATTGTGGTGATTGATTCATTGATGCTTGTGTGTTTTGTGCATTTGATGTTTGAGCAGCATTGTTCTGTAGTTTGAAGAAAATAGAATATGTTGTTAAGAGGTTTTTGTTCAGCCTGTAGATAGATGTTACTACTCAATGCTTGTTAACTTACAGTAGAAATGATTTTATTGTTGGAGTTCTGAGTGGTGGCGGGAGCGTTGCCACTAGCAGTACCAACGTTTTGTGTAGCTTGTTTTTCAGCAGTCGCAGTCAAAGTTGCGGATGATCCGGAGGTTTTAGCTGTTTTGGTGTCTGATTTAGTTGAATCAGTGTTAATTATAGTCGCTGCATTAGTCCCACTGGTCAATCCTATTCCATTTTTATAAGTAAATAAATTTGGTAAAGAATCAATTCTTACCTGTTTTAGTGTCTGTTGCTTTGACGTTTAATGTAACAGCTTCTGATAAACGCACGCAAAATACAATGGCTACAATAGCCAAGTAAAAGTACGGGCGCAGCATGGTAAAGATGATAGGAAACGATAACTAAATTATTATGATATAGAAATATTCGCAATAAGAAAAAAATACTGACATTTTATACTAAAAAGTGCAGTTGTGTTCTGAAAGATTCCACTTAATATGTGGCATAAGAAAAAAAACTAATAAATTTAGCATTTAAAAATGTTCTTAAAAAGAAATGAGATATGTTTTTTTTGTTTTATAGATATTCACATCTGTTGCCTTATTATAAAGATTCCACTTGAACATATCTAAAATCATACAAGACAACATATTGAAAATTTTTATTAAATTAATATGAATGAATCAAGAAGAAAAAGCACAAAAAGATATGAAAGTATAACGTCAGCTTTTGCACATATAGAGAATATTTTATTTCGGTTGAAATGAGGTCGATATGTGTAGGTATTTTTTTAAGCTTTTATTCAAATAACATTTAGCCAATTGATACGAATATACAGTCATAATCGACTTCTAATTGACTAGAACATTTATTTGTTATTGTTTTTCTCTAATTCCAGTAAACAAACAAAACCACTAAGTAAGATCATTGATTTTTGTTTTTATTTCTCGTTCAAGTTGTTTTCATGTATAAATAAATAGACAACTAATTTGTTCTAATTGAAAAGAATATTTATTTGTTCGATTAATATAAATTCGATTTGGTGGTATTGTTGAACGAATATTTGATAACAATAATAAATAAGTTGATAAAAGTGAATGAGCATGATATTCAATTCTGTATGTTTACTTATTGTTTATGTTTCGTTTAGAAAGATATTTCAAATCAAAAAATATTTGTTTAAAGGGCTCTTTGCAATTCTTCTCATTGATCAGTTCGAAAAGGATGGAGGCATCCATAATATATCATTTATTACCACATAGAGAAGAGAACATTAATTGGACTAATGATTATGTCATCAATATCATCTAATAAGTACTTCAAAAAGTCTCATATTCACATTAAACAGAAGTGTGAGTTTTCATGAAACAGTCCTGAATTTTCATTCAAAAATCGTTTTCCGAATCGGATTTTTCGAGAAATAGCAAAAATGACGCATATACATAGGACAAAAGGGTGAGAATCACAAAATTTCTTTGCTTGGTAATATTGGTATAACTGCGTGAGAGAGACACTATTTCGGGTGTCATATAAAAACAAATGCATAGGAGAACACGATGACACGAATTCATGAAGAATCTGATCTAGTGGCAAAAATTGGTAAAATGATATTTTTGATAAACATATGAGTGATGTAAACCTATTAGACATAAATGTAATTATGCAGTTTACTCGAAAACAGTGTGTTGACTTCGAGAATTTTGAGATTTTTCACAAAAAATCTGGATATTATTAGGTTGTAAAAAAATTATTGGAAGAAGACATGAATGAGCTACTTGAGATCCCGTAGACATAGAGGATGTTTCGAAGATGGCTATTTATAATCACAAGAAGGGGAAAAGTTCCAAAACGTACAAAGAAAAACAACGATCAGATTACTTTCAAAGGGTTCCTAATAAATCTTCTGTCATAATTTAGTAGTTGATCAACATTCTCCGACCTGAATAAACTTTTTTGAATGAATTAGAAACAATAAAGTAGTCTAGGACTTCGATTTCGAATGTCTCTGTATATATCAACAAAATTTGATCAACATATCATATCTATGAATATAAATATTGATTTTATGTTTACAAAAAATAAGACATGTCATCGATTTTTGTTTTGTCAATATTTTTCTATCAATTGATATGCTTGTTAAAAATGATTAATAATATTTTCATCAAGTGTATAATGTAAAGGTAAATGAAGAAGTTTCAATGATTGACCAAGAATAATTGTCATGAAACCTAAATTAAGTCAATGTGTTATCTTAGAGTTGATTTGATAGTATTAGAGTACATGCATCAAAAATTTCTCTTTTGTTTGATGATCTTTTTTTGTAGAACTCAAATATATTTTCGAAGAAAATAGTTGAGTGTAAGTTGAAATCGAAATTGTTGAAGTTTCTCTGCATTTTTAGCGCCCGTGGATAAGAGAAAGAAAGATCAACGATCAGTGGATATAGTTTTCTGGCAACTGAAAAAAGCTGCATCAATAATATAATACTTAGATTATTTTGTAATTGTCTAGAGTCGTCCGAAGCATACTATGAATCTAAGATTCTTAGTAGTCTAAGCATTGCAGATTTTTGATATTTTAATACAGCAAAAATGTCTTATTGTAGATGCCGATTAGTAAAACAATGATATTATTGATCTAACAGAATAAGAATAATTAACGAAATGAATATGTATCTGACAAAACAAATTAAGTTTCTTCAATATAATAATGCTAAATGAATATAATAAATTTATAGAATAGGAATTCTAAATACAACCAATTTCGAATGTTACAGTGGGTGTATCGACTTTGAAAATTGTTATAGTTTTGATTTAATCATTCTTTTTTACTTTTTTTTTTAAATAAATTATTTTAACCCTTCTGACAATGTGTCATATATTTATAATAATATAAGTTTGTGAGTTCCACATTTTGGCCCTTTATGAAGTCAAATTTATAAATATTTTCTTTTTTCTTTCTTAAGATAAATATCTATGTGTTTCTCTTTTACAATCACCTATATTTTATATCGAACTGAATAATATGAAGTATTTTGTATTCTTTATTTTAAATTTATTGACATCGTCTGAAAAAAAAACAGAATGTATTCATTGCAGAAAAATTAAATGATCGATTCTATCTTATTGAATTAATCTTGATATTTTTATCTCGAACTAAAAAACAAAAAAGAAAAATAATTTACTATACAAATTAATTAATGAATTATTCATTAATTTATGCCTAACATTTATAAGATATTCTATCAATAAATGCAACAAGACACATTTTGTTATAGAAATAATTCAAAATTTTAATGCAAAAATGAAGTAAAGATTTTCATCATAAACTATACACTTTTTGTATATATACGGGTACTTGAGAGATGTGAGTGTGTGGCTAAAGATGATGTCAACTGACAATAAGAGTGAGCGTAGATCATTATGTCTGCGATAGTCTTAAGTATATTCATGTTCTCTACATCAATATTATTCTACAATTATGCAGAAAGTGCTCAAAGGCAAAAAGACTGATATATTTTTATGATCTTCATGATGAAAGAATTTTGTTTATGCATGAATTGAGTTTTCAATGATATTCTGATCAACGAAATAAAAAAAACAGATTCAAAATAATAACTGAAATATTTTCTGATTTATAAAGCATAAGTGCAATTAGATTTTCTTCAACTTGACGAACGTCCTTGAGCCAGCTGATGACATTTTGTTTTTAATAAAGATATGATACAATCATAGAATGCACACGAAATAAATTACAAAATAAATTAATGATATGTCGTTTATTAATATTTCGATAAGGAAAGAAAAAAAAAGAAACCTAGAAAAATAAAGTAAATGAAGAAAATGGTACTCATTTTGAATAGTTTTTACTTTTGCAGGTGAGTTTTATTATATGTTTTTATGTTTCTTTTTTTAGTCGTAATGAATGTAGATTGTACAAGAGGAAGCCTTGAATATGACAAGTTAGTTTCTAGTCGAACAAAATTATCGAAATAGTTTTGTTTTTATTTTTATTCAAATAAGTTTGAAGAGTTGTGTGATAGAAACAGTTGGATGCATTTAGAGTTTATTTGTAACTAAACTCTATTGATTGATATTTATTAAAACTTTGAATTTATACTAGTAAGGAAGAGCTTTGGACTATAAGTTACGGATATAGAATATATTTGAGTCACATTGGCAATCCTACTGTCAAACTATCCAATTTAAAATATGAGCCATTTATGGGATGTTTCGATGGAAATATTTGGATTGGAAGGTGTTCTGAATATACGTATAAATAATAGAGAACTATTAACATTTTTTTTCTTGTACAGTGATTTGAGTTTACAGATAATGAATATTCAGAATCTAACTTAAATCTAATTCATCAGTAGTGTCAGACTAGTCTTGACATCTAGTCAAGAAACAATGTTTTTTTCGTTATTAAATGTCTTTCGTAGGAAAGATATTTATAGCTCGAAGGCATTGAAGTGTCACTTTCTTATTAGTCACAGAAGCTAATTTACATTAAGAGTTTATTCATCCTCAACGAAGACGAAAATTAGTTCAACAAAAGAATGCAAACGGATTTGAATGTACTAATGCATGTCATTTTTCAAGGTGTTCAATGTAAACGTATTACTAATTGATCTAAATTATTTTGAAGTAACATTTCTAAAATTAAGATTGTTGCTTAATAATTTATTTTAAAAGGTCGATGTGTTCTTGCTTGAGTAATAATCATCTATTAATTATACACTGACCAGTACACTTATGTCATATATATTGAATGAAAAAAATGAAATCTAAGTTCACATCAATTAAAATAGCTAGGAAAGAAACATTTGAGCTTATTGTGAAACTATCGAATGTGTGTTTCTAATGCTTTGACCATTATAGTAACGTCGTTGGTTATGAAGAGTAAACATTTACAATTTGCATTTAATTAAGCATACCTTCATTGCTGCTCTTTGATTGAAGACAACAAACTGTATGCATAATCAATCATAGATATTATCTTACCATAGACTACACTGTTTTTAGGTTGAATAAAAAAATAAAATGATTGAAACTTTAAGAGTTTAAGTAAACAGTATTAATCTTTTTTCAATAGAATGGTGCCAAACTTAAACAAAACAATGAAATTGGTATGATGAATTCAGTATAAAATATTCTTGAGAAATTCGAACTCAAATTAAATAGTTACTTCAGTAGTGAGAAAAACATATAGTACAATGTGCATATATTGCTGATTAAAAAAAGTTCATGCTTTTATAGAATATTCTAAGAACTGGTATTTCTCACCAAGTTTCATACTTTTATAATGAAACATACATTCTTCTTGAAATTTTTCTAGAAACCAGAATACTACTTTCTATGTAATATTCTAACCTGTGTGTGGTTTTTTTTTGTTCAAAACTTTTAACAAAGCTCAAAAAAACTATTACGCTTCAACGACAGATGCTTCTGGAAGTCCATCTCTTGAAGTCTTTGATAAATTCAATAGTTTATACTCATTGAACTGAATCTCCTATCATATGTATTTCGTTTTTGGATAACGCATTCTCATGAATATTGATAATATTTTCTCCAAAACAACTCTGAGACAGGGTCAAGACCGAAGTTTAAAAAAAACTGATCACATTAGACTCTAATATGTAATCATTGACAGATAGGGATCTTTCAATTTTTGAATTTTATATTCTACTGTTCAGATTAGAATGGGGTTCTATTGCCATATTTTTTTTCTTACTCGTTAAATAACTATCACATATTAGTGCTATCTGATTATGTTGGTATTTATATTCTTCAAGAACAAAAAGAAGAAAACCTGTTCATACCATAGTTCTTTTCCTTTGATCATAACACATTATTTTCTTTCTTATCGTTTCCAAATAGAGTCAATATTGCAATATTTTTATTGTCATAAATATAAATTGTTGAATCTTTAATTTCTTTTCACTAGTTAAATATGGACTCAATTCAAGCTAAACAACTTTGTGTGAATTGTACTAAAGGTGGAGGCATTACGATATGTGTTGGATGTCAAGGATGCTTTTGTAAAGGTCATTTTCAAGAACATCGACAGACTCTTGATGAAGACATGGATCGTGTCTGTCAACAACAAGAATATCTCTACAAGACTTTAACTGGAAATAGTATTGTGCATCCACTTCTTTCTCATATTGATGATTGGGAACAGTCATCGATTAGAAAGATTCAAGAAGTAGCAGAAAAAGCTCGAAATGATCTAACAAGATTTATGAATGAAATGAAAGCTCAATTAAAACAAGCACTTCTCAAAATAAAGAGTGAATTAGAATCAAGTCGCGAAGCAGACGATTATACAGAAATAGAATTGACAAATTGGATCGAACAACTAGAAAAACTTCGACGAATGTTTGAAAAACCACCAGCTATTGAAATTGTTGATGATCAAGCACAACCACTCATTCGTATCGTTCAACGAAAAGGTTCGTAAAAATACAATCATGAAATATTCAATTATTCTAAAGCTTTTCAACAATAACGAGACATATATACTAGAGTTTTATAAAGTGTAATCGATTGTATTTTGGACTTAGAATGAATAAAAAGTATTCAATTGGGATTTAGTACAATATTAGAGTCGAGTTGTGGGGTTGGGCTTAAGCTATCAAGATGGATTAAATATTTCTTATACTGTCATATTATGTCGATTTAAATTCAACACAAATCTGTCTATAAAACCTTTTTTGTGACAAAAATCCTAGTTTTTGTCGACAACGCATTTGTTCGAAGTGATCTCACTAGAAGTGTAATTTGACTCAAAATTTAGAACGGAACCCCTAACAGCGTTTTGATCGTATAGATTGTACCGATAACCGCAAATTGGAAAAGAAATTTTAGTGCTTTTCTTATGGATCACTTTATTTCATTGCTAACAACTATTCTACTAATACTCACAACAGAATTACCAAAACTAATAGATGAGCATGATAGACAGGTAAAGAAGAATTATATAATCGACCAATCATCATGTAGTTATATGCTTTCTTTAATGGTGGAACTAAGAGCAACACTCAGAGTCTGAGTCAATTGATATGCGGCTCTTATAAATTGTCCCTACTACACTTAACATCAAGATAATGAGGATCGAAGAACTATGAACTCCTGTTTTAAGCTTTCCATGTAAGTACTATTACTTGTGTAATGCTATGCTAGAGATTATTTTCGTTTGCCTGAAATAAGATATGCACCTATCTCAGTTAACTGAGTATCAGTCAGATTGATACCTAGTTTACCAAATTAAAGTTAGGTATGGTTTACATTTGTCATAAATGATAATCATTAATGATAGAACAGGAATTAGCAGAAATAAATTCAAGAATACTAAACATGCAGTGTAGATTTTGATTCTAATCCCTACTAAGATGTGTTATTTCTAACACGAGTTAGGAGAGCCGGATGTTTTCTTTGGTTTTATGTTCATCTAGTCAATAGATAGAAACTTTTCTATCTTTAATCATATAGTTAAAACTTATTGGAAAATAATATCTAGTCAATGGAAAAGAGTATTTAAAATATTAAGTGAAAAATTCTTATTAAATATACATCTTCGTATAATTATTGTTTAATAGGTTTTGAAACAAAAAAGAAAACTGAAACAACCCTTATTTCAGCTTTACCGAAAACTCTCAACACCATCGCCACGGCAAGTTTTATACCTGCAGAATTACCAACGAAACTGGACTCAACAACAAATTATAACAGAAAGCCCGGTATGTTAAGACAAAGCCATAGTAAAAATAACAGTCAATAGTTGATGTTCACAATAGTTTTTACTAAAACGAATACGAAGATTGTGATATGTGTTTTCTCAATTAACAAATAAATAAATTAGTATTTAATTGTTTTTCTTTATATTTTTTTCTAAATTGGTGATGAAGTAGACTTTCTCTGTATGAATTAGGTTGATATTTGAAGATAAAATTATGTTTTAACCCATTTACTATGACTTTGCAGTATAAAAAATGATGGAGCTGCTCTAATCATCAGCTGAAATCAACATTGTGTTAATTACACTCGCTGAATGGATCACAAGATTAGCACATCGAAATGTCTATCATCAGTAGTCTATTCGATATCTGAGAATAGATTTCAAAGATAGTATTTATGAGACTTTATGACATAGAAAAACAGATATAAAGCTTCTTTTAAAATTATTTTGAATATTTATAACTTTCATTCAGACAATCAACAATTTGCTGCACCAGGTGCTTTTAAAGAATTGGATTGAGATTATTTGTTTCTGATGTGAATATTGATCGGCATAGTATTTTAAAGCGTTCACTCAATCAAAGAATAAAAGATGAATAGAACTCTTGTTTTAAGTATTCATTTATCCTGTGGTGTTTTAAATAGCTGGTTGTAACCGAGCGCATTCACTTGAGAGAAGGAAAATAAGTGAACTGCATGTTAAGAGCCGTTCTATTCAGCCGCTTTTTATCTGAACTATCAGTCATTGAAGAAGTGTTTAATTTACTATGAAAACAAACGAAGTAAGTGTACACCTCCGTCTTAATGATTATTCAGCTGTCATAATATTTCAATCATTTAACCAACTATAATAATATATTTACTAGTGAACATGTTTTTGAAATCAAATGTTTGTGCCAAATGTGGTAACTGTCGTTATGAAGATTCATTTTTGACGGAACCTGAAATTTATGGATGAAACGAGAGCCCTAGCTTTGAAGTAAAACAAGATAAACGAATAGAACACTGATTGAACTAGTTCATTTGATAAGTCATATTGCATATACTTAGCAACTCGGTCGTTGCACTTTGAAATAAATGGAATATATCAACACGACCGTTGGTACTATTCAAACTATTCATTTGACATGCAAATATCGGTGAGGTACTGAAGCGACAGTGTACGTTTAATTTAAACACAGTAGATTTACAGAATTCACCGGTGATGATAATCATCCATGTGGTTGATGACTTTCTATAAGTGTGTCTTTCTTGAATCTTTGGTTTTGTGTACATGAAATAGATGGACACTATTATACGACAAGCTGGAAATGGATGGTGACAAACCAGTTATGAAATGATCAATGAACATCTTTGTCAATTGAAAATTTTGTATTGAAGTGAATAAAATAAATGAACATAGCATCAGAAATAGGAATGTTTCTTTTTTCATTTGAACTTTCGCTTCATTAGTGATTCACAATCATCACTTTAAAGTGACTGTAATTGATGAATATGACCCTTTCAAGAATTATGATCAATCATTCGTTGTGTCATTTTTCAAAAGAGTATATTCTGCAGGTTTTTGTTTCACTATGTGCAATAAAATTGAATACCAGCATTGGGGAAGTACTGATTACGATGATTTCTTTTCTATGTAATCTTTTGATCAGTAGATAACGTCGCATGCTTTCATTCAAAGTGAGTTGACAAGATAGATGAATAGTTTTGTTGGGAGCGTTGGAAAATAAATGTTAATATAACATGAAAGCTTTGGATCCAACATAACTTCAATGCTTTATTTCAAAGTAGATAGGATAAGAGAATGAAATTCCGATGATATATATTCAAGATTTATATAACTGTCAATCTAAATCAACAACACTCAGTCGTCATTTATTAATTAGTAAGATAGATGAATACAACAATGGTGAAACTGATTCATTTATTTTGTGATATTTTATCTATTCAGCAATGCACCATTGTTCATATGGATTAAAAAGAATATATGAATGAAACCATAAATATGCGAATGTTTCATTTATCACGTGCTCCTCAATCAACTGGCTAATTCATGAGCTTTAATTCAAACTTTAAAATGAGATGAAAACATAGATGAATACAGCCATTATGACCGTTTCAAGCGTTCCCATCATACATTGACCATGTCGTACTTGATGAACTACGATTAATGTATGTATTCTGGCTCAAGATGAATGACATAAGTGAACAGAACTTTCGTTACATTTGTTCGTTTTTCACTTGATAATTAAGTAGCCGAAGAAGTTCTTATATTTGTTTCAATTCAATGAAAATAAACGAATATGATACTGATCATAGTCATTCATTTGTCACTTGAAATACGCACTGATTTTTTGGTGAAAAGTCTGCTTCAAAATTGCTGTAATTGATGAATGAATAGTTGGCGCAACATGTACTCATTGAACATCCTTTACCATGGGGTTTTCAATCCGTGGACAAAGTCACAGCTTTTGATCTGAAGTTAGCAAAAGTGATGAACAGAAGTCTGGTTGTAACTGTTTCTTTGCGATATGATGTTCGATCAACTGATTGAGTCGTAAATATCTCTTCAAATTGATAAAAAAAGGTGAATAGATGTCTCGTTATGAACACTCCGTTGTGCTGTGATCTTCGATCAGCTAACCGACTTGCAACCTATAGTTCGAAGTGAACAAGACATATGAACAGCAATATCATCTTGAACGCTCCTGTGCGATGTGATTTTCGATCAAGTAACCAAGTTGCAATCTTTGTTTAGAAGTGAGCAAAAGAAATGAATAGAAGTCTGTTGAATAATGTTCTATGGTATTGTGATCCTCGATCCGCTGATTGAGTGGCAATGCTCGCTTCAGAATGAGCAAAACAGACGAATCAAAGTCTGGTTGTAAATGTCCCTTTACGATGTGATTGTTAGTCAGCTGGACGAATCAAAAAAATTTTCTTCCAAATAAGCCAAAGAGATGAATAAAAGTCTGCTCATGACTATTCTTTTGTAATGTAATCTTCGATCAGAAGACTGAGTCGCAAACGTTGCTTCAAAGAATGCAGAAGAGGGAATAGAAACATCGTTATGAGTTTTCCTTTGTTATGTAGTCTTCGATCGGATGATTCAGGGACAAGTTTAGTTTCAAAATGAGCAAAATAGGCGAACAGAAGTCTGGTTATAAATGTTTCTTTGTGATGTGATCTATGATTAGCTGATCAAGTTGCAATCTCTCCTTTGAAGGGAACAAGGGAAGTGAGCAAAATTCTTTTGAACAATGTTCTTTTGTGATGTGATCTTCAATCAGCTGACTTAATTAGAATCCTTGCTTCGAAGTGAGCAAAAGAGATGAAAAGAAGTATCATTATGAATGTTCTTTTCTGGTGCAATTTTTGATCATCTGGTTGGCTTGCAATTATTACTTCAAACTAAGCAAAATAGTTGAACAGTAGTCTCGTTATGAATGTTCTTTTTCTTATATCCTTCTATCAGTTGATCGAGTTGTAACATTTGCTTCGAAACAAGTAAAAGAAGTGAACAAAAAACTGGTTATGAATATTATTTTACGGCATGCTTTTCCATCAGCTAATCGACGCCCAATCTTTGTTTCGAAGTAAGCAAAACAAGTGAACATAAGCCTGGTTAGATATGCTCCTTTGCAATGTGTTTTTCAATCAGCATACCAAGTCACAAACTTTTCTTTCAAATGAGAGAAACAGATGAACAGAAACCTGGTTATG